GGCATTCCTTACATAATGGGATCTCAGTGCTCGTGCCCGGCAAGAGCTCAAAAACAAGTTCATAAACAGGTCCTGTAATTTCTCCCACAAGAGCAGTCCTGGCGCCCACAGGAATGCTGCCACCAGCACTCGTCCTGACTCTCCCCAAGCACCCTACTCTGAGTATCGGTCACGTGCTGGGGAGAGTTGGGCAGTGAGACCATTAATGGCACAGATCAGCCACTCTCAAGGCACTCAGGACAGCACCTGCTAGCATTTAGGTTCGTTTAAGTTTATTTTGTATTTGCACTGCAGAATGATTTAGAGACTTTCTTCTTTGCCTCCGCACTTGGGTCCCTTTGGCAAGATGCTGACAGAGAGCTGATCTGTTGTCTTGAATTTGGGAGCCAGCACAGCCTCTTCCCTGAGCCCAGCCTTCCCACAGCTCCCACAGGAGCCTGATGGACTCTGCTTGGGGTGGTGAACTGCGACAGTTTGCTGTGGATTCGGCACAGCTGGGCTGAGGGGCAGAGCTCTGCCTGGGACAGGCAGGACAGAACTGGCTCCAGCTGCTGAAGGGAGGCAGCTCTGTAATCAGTGCCCTGGTCACCCCCTTCTTGTCCCTGGCTCCATTCTTTTTTGCAGATAGCACAGGGGACACTTTTGCCTTACCCCAGTGGCACGGGGCTGCACCTACCAGTCAGCCTGGCAAGGAAAGCTTCACCAGATCGGCACGTCCTCCACCACAGCTGGGCACACCGAGCCTCTTCACCAGAGCAGGCACCCAGCGCTTAGGGCAGACATACAAAGGCCTCTTCAGGCAGCCAGAATCACTGCCCCAGGCATCACAGGAAGACGCTGAGCAGCCAGAAAGAAGACCAGAGCCTCTTCTGGAAAGTGCGTGGTGACTGGCCCTGAGTCACAGCGCATCCCCGCGCTGTGCTGCAGGCACAACCCGGCCTCCTGGGGCAGGTGCCTGCAGACGATGGGGTTTAGCTGAAGGATGCCCAGAAATGGGATGCAGAGGCGTCCTGAAAGGTTAACATCCAGAAGTGCAGCCTCTTAGAAGATACTGAGTTGAAAAGTAAAATCACTGAACAGAATTGCTTCTCTTTAGCTCAAACCAGGACGTTTGACATTGATCTCCAGGACATCTCACCAGACCCACCACCTCTCTCCCGTTTGGGCCGTGTGCTGCTACATGTCACTGCCAGCCAGCCCCCGGCTGTCCTCCTGCCAGACAGGGTGGGGATGCTGCTCACTCTGTTCTCTCCTCCCCAGCCTGCAGGAGCAGAGGGTTTGGGCCATGCTCAGGCAGAGCAGAGGATGTTTGTTTGGTTTCCTTGGTTACTGCACTGCCTGCTCCGGTAATCACATTTTCCTTGTACTGGCTGGGCCAAGAGCAGCAAAGGAAATCTGTAATGGCTGAGGTCGAACACCAGCCTGGGAACAGCCGGGGCCACCAGCCACAGCCTCTATGTGCCATTTGGGTCCTTGCTGTTGTGGGTTCCCAAATCAAAAGGGAGGTGCCAGGCCCAGGGATGCAGCAACAAACTCCTTCAGCAACAGCCCAAGGGCTCCCATCACTCCCTCCTCTGTGTGTGAGCCGAGGACACAGGCACCAGCGTTGAACTGCGGGAGGAATCACAGGAATGAAAATGTTTGTGCAGGCAGAAGCCAAGCTGGCCGTGCAGGCGGGGGAGCCTGCAAGCGTGGGTGCGGCTGTATTTATAGCGACGGTGGCAGCAGGGGTGCGCGTGTGCAGGGGTACAAGGTTGCTAATGCCTTTTATTCTTTATGCATCCCTCAGCCCAGGAAGCCTGGAGCAGTAATGCCAGTTCTCATCCTTGGGAGTTTCCCCCTGCTTGCTAGCTTTCACAGACAGCCCTCTGTTCTGTAGCAAGGAAAGCGAAACTTGAACATGTGCAAACCATGGCTGATCTCATAACAACACCCTTTCCCCTCCTTGATAATTCACTTCAGCAGTCATGAGCGCAGCATATGAGCTCCTCACTGCTGGCTGCCCTGCATCTCGGAAGCGAGATCTGAGGCTCCAGCACAGCAAGTGCTGGTGACGCTGCCATTCTGGCATGTAACATCTATTCACAGTGGCTAAATCAATGTGCGCTGGTAAAGCAGAACAGAAGGGAATCACCTACCTTGCAGCACAGCCATGCTGGGTGAGCTGGGACAGGCAGAAGGGCTCAGACAGCACTGCCTGGTCCAACCCCCCTCACCTTTCTCCCCAGCCGACATGGAGCAGGCGCAGCGGAACCTGGATTCAGAGCAGATGCAGCAGCAGCAGCTGAAACTACGGGACCGGCAGAAGTTCTTTGAGGAGGTTTTCCAGCATGATGTGGATTTCTTCTTCCCTATGTCTCACCTGCAGATAGAGCATCGGAGACGTAAGTGTTGTGGGCACCAGCACGGGCCTGGAGGTGTTTCAGGGAACGATACAGGTGTTAAAAGATCTGAGGGGACACCCCCAGTCTAAAGGCAGCTGGGGACATATGTGTCCTGCACTGAGACAGGACCACACACACACTGCATGTGGGTGTGCTGTGGATTACTCACACCACGTCACTGAAGTCACTGCACATGGGTACGCAGGCTGGCGCCCTGCACAGTCGCTGGCTTTAGACAGGCTCCGCCAGACAGCAGGCTGGAGCAGGGACAAGGGCTGTGGTGAGACAGCTGGGGCTTCCAGAGGGGTGTTTTAAGGAAACATGATTTTCCTGGGCACCTGTTACCAGTAAGTAGAGTTCAGTTCCCCCTGGTAAGGCTGGCCTCCTTCCTTGGGGTCTTGCATGCACAGGGCTCATGGTACCCTTTTCCTGGTGCTAGCACCTTTTCACTGGCCTCTGTCTCTGCAGCCCCCTTAGGCAGCATTTCTTCCATGGAGGTGAACGTGGACATGCTGGAGCAGATGGACATGATGGACCTGTCAGACCAGGACACTGTGGACGT